ACAAACAGTTGCATCATTTTGCACAAGTTTGGTTGACAACAACTGAGTTATTAATTTCTTAATTTTACTGCTATCATGTAAGTTAACCACAAATTGGATCAATTTTAAATGAAGACCATCATTTAACATTTTATAAATACATTCTAAGACCTCATATTCATTACCATTACCAATTAATAATTCCCAAGACATAATTAAAGCTTCATCTTGCATATCTGAAGCAGATATGCCTAATTGTTCCAATGATTCTATGATTATATTTGTGCATATTCCATTAATTAATGTATGCCTAAGAAAATCATTCAGTCTATCACTGCCACAATGTTGAATATACAATTTCAAGTATTCATCCACAGTGTCAGTAGAAATAGTAGTGTCTTTCAAATAGATCCCTAATAATTTATCACAAGCATTTTTCAATTCAGAGCATTTATATAAATTTGATCTATTTTTATTTATCCAATCATTATGAAGATTATTCTCAAGAACACTTTCTTTACCTATTTCATATGCTTTTGCAATTGTACTTTCAATAAAGTGAGCACATTCAAAAGCTTTAGTAATATTTTCAATGTTTGTTTCTTCACTCACACTTGGATTCTCTATGAGTACAAAAAATATATCAAACATTCTCAATATTACATGGAAATCTTGTTCTGACATATCTGTGTTAATTTTGACACGTGTGAAAAATAATTTCAAACTGTTATCATTTAATAATGGATCACATCAATTACTAAACTTACACTTTGAATGGAAGTTTTGGATCAGAGGTAAGAGTTATTTTAAAAGTAACTTTTGACCTGTAACAAATTAATGCTCCCGTTATTCTATTGTTAAGTAATTTTATTAAGTTAAATCATAAACATTAATGAAACATATGTTTAATAGAACATGTACACATTTCAAAATTATGTATTCATTTAAATGTATGCTATATTTTTATCGGTTTTTTTTTTAAATTTTAGCGATCAAAATACGTACGCCATAATTGTTTAATACTGCTTTAATAAAAAAAATAGAACTTTTGTATGCACGATTTACTTTTAAAGAAACAATAACCTTAAGCAAATCTCAACACTTGATTGCTATGCAGGATACTCAACATGGAACACATGATGTGTATAATGCGCACGCGTGCACATTAAACATTACTACACTATAGCAGTATTTTTAAATTTATTAAAACTTAACATTTTTGTACCATATCTATTTTGCATTTACTAATAGCAATTATTTCCTACATTGTTCTAATAATACAACATTAAAATTTATGTTCATTTAAAAACATGCTTCGCAAATAGTACGCATTTTTTTATCAAATGTAAGTTTAAATTCTTCGTTAATGAAACTTTACCGATAAAAATATAATTAAAAAAAACGCATTTAAATATATTAAATATATTTTTACAATTTTGAATTTCGTATTAAGTGCCTACCTTCACTACGGTAAAGTCTAACGTTTACAATTTATGACGTGTCGTGTAATTCAATTTACGTAAATCTCATATATGTATATAGAACCTTTTTTTAAATACTCTTCAATTAAAATATTTCATACACTTACTCCATTTGTTAAATTGATATACTATCGCACTTCGCAAACCATTTAATGTAGATAACATAACAAGGAAAACACATAGTCGTTAGAAATCTGATTGTAGTAATTATCCAATAAAAATTATAGAATTAATTGATGTTTACTATGTAACACCTTTAATGCTACGTTCTTTTAGTAATTAATTAAAAAGAGTTGCACGGTTAAAGAGCTTCAAGATCGCCACGTTACGGCTTATCGCTTCGCAAGTGGTGTGATTGTGCCGTTAATGTTGCACCAGTGTATTGCACTCCATAGTTTCGGTGCATTAATTTCTATCTACGACACGATACAATAGCTAGTAGCGCGTAGAACGCGTCCCAAGAAGTAACACAGTCTAAATATTACGGGAAAGTTTATTATTTTTCGCGCGGTTCGAACGGCACAGGAAAGAAAACGTACCGTAAAGGTTAGATACATTGGGAAAAAACGACGAGCTGACTATCCAATGCAAGTTCGATAAAATAGTTATCAGGTTTACTTGCAGACAGTAAAGCCAGACGCAGAATGGATAATAGTAAAGTGGATGATGAGAATCAGCGTAATATTAATGATGGGGACTGGATTTGCCCCGATTCTCAGTACGTAATTTTGTGGGAACGTCGTCGCCTTGTATGAAATCAGCTTTATCCTTTATAATCGAATTTTGTGCACAATATACAATCGTGGTATTTAATTGTCAACTCTATTGTGTCATTATTGTTTGTATTATTGCTATGTTGATATGAAATATGTATTTTAATGGATAACTTAATTGGCTGATACCACTGATTTTGTAATAAATTCTTTGATAAGGAGTAATATTATTTAGTTAGTAAAAATATGAAGTATTAAATACATACAGTGATTAGTGCAATATCTGTTTGACATTAGTGATATTATTTTTGTAATTTAATTTAATTTGTCTGTATTTTAATGTTTGTCATGTTAAGCTTTATTTACATTACAGTAAAGAAATGTACTTATAAAATAAAATAAAATAATAAAAAGATCCTGAAACATGTTAGATATCAATATTTGAACTATTATTATTATATAAGGTGGTCTCTTAAAAGTGTTTAATTTTTCAGATGTGCCAATGTAAATTTTGCAAGAAGAAATTCTTGTAACCGATGTGGAAAAGGTATATAAAAGTTGATATGGTAATGTATGAAATGGTTTCTTTATAACTTTCCTTAAAATAACATTTCATCAATAATGTATGTCTGTTGTAATTTTAGTGCTACTGTACTAATGTTACAATACATAATGTTACGTGTATGTATTTGTTAACAAAAGATATTTTCATGCAGACAGAGGAGAATGCCCTAAGAAAAAAAAGTTAGGACAAGAAATTGGCAAAGCTGCTGCAGAGAAAAGTAGAGGATTGTTCAGGTAGATGGTAGAAATCTAAGAACAAATATAATACAAAAATGAATTCTCTGTTATATTAAGATTTCATATAGGAAATAAATTCAAAATAAATATTCTAAAAAAAATAGCATTGAAAATGGGTATTAGAACTGTAATTTTATCATTACTTTTATTTAAATGATTAATAATTTCACTTTAATAATATACAGAGTTGTACAATGTGTCATATATCTTTCTTTAACTTTCAATATACCTTATATTTTTATAGAATATTTACAAGAAATAAATATTATCGATAAATGAGTAACAAAATGAGTAAGTGATCGCGTTTTATGATATCTTTATGTTTTAGTGCTGATGATTGGCAGTGCAGTAAGTGTGGAAACGTAAATTGGGCTCGACGACAGCAGTGCAACATGTGTAATGCGCCAAAATTTGGTGAAATCGAAGAGCGTACGGGGTATGGAGGAGGATACAATGACCGGGGAGTTGTTGAATACAAAGAAAGGAGAGACGAGGATGACGAATACGATGAATTCGGGCGTCGTAAGAAAAAACGAAAGATCGAAAATCGCTCGGATGATGATTCCAAAGATTCTAGGTATAGCAGTCCACCGCGTAATAAATCTAAGGACGAGGTTGAAAGACACGAAGTGGAAAATGAAGAAGACCAAAATGTAATTGAACACACTTATTTCAACATACAATAATACAATGAAAATATTAACCAAATAAAATTTTCAATTTCAGAACGAAGACGAAGAGGAGGAAGATGATGAAGAAGATGGCGATTTATCCAAATATGATCTTAGCGAATGGGATGACTTTGCGGTTAAGAAAAAGTAAAATTTCATATGATTAATGTTTGTACTGCGAGTACATTACACGTTGTTAATTTTCAGTACAAATGGGAGCTAAAAGAGTGAAATGAAAAATGTTGCAATCATTAGAGTATTCTTTTGGCCAAACCAGAAAAAAAGCTAATAAATGTTTTTACATAAACGTAACATTGTTTTTACAGAGACAGAGATGATTGGCGCGATTCGGGAACATCCAGTCAATGAGAAGCTGCGCAGAAGGAAAGGTTTGACTTGGGTTTCGGGTATAAAATTGATTGCGACAATGAATTGCGATATTGATCGATGAAATTGCTAAAGCGACACTTTTGCCTTGTGCCTTTAGAAACAGTATTATTTCCTATAGTAAACCATAGTAGATATTAGATTAATAATGGCATGATCAAAAGGAAGATGTAGATTTAGCAAGTCTGAAGGAATCACGATACAATACTCGTTAAGTAAATCATTTTTTACAGGTGAGAGGAAATCCCAAGAGCGAAAAAAGTTGCTCGACAATTAAGAGATATACACAACGCAACAAATTTAGTGATTTAGTAAGCACCTTTGGATAAAGTGATGGACAATATACGACTATATTGCAAAGGGAATCGATTAACAATAAGCTTTACACTTTGTGACTGAACTCATAGCTTCGTTGACTCTGTGGATGGAGAGTGAAATGTAGGTTACCTATTTGCGCAATATTGTCCTAAATATTGCCATAGTAAATGCGAAAAATTCGTAAAAATACCTTGACGCAGGTAGAATATTTCGCTAGTAAACGAAACAAAAAAAAAAGAAAAAACATACATGAAACCTGTAATTTTATGGATGATGTGTTGTTACACGGCTCGTTGTAAAAGCTCTGCATTACGAACTCTTAGAAAAAATCTTATTTCTAACTCAAAATATAAAGTCTTCGAGAAAGCTCTCTATCATCATGTTACGCTTTTAAAAAAGTTTCTACTTTTACGTTATCACAAACTCACGACGTTTTTGTCTAGCCATGTCACGGTTATTATTCGCTTAAATATTGCTCAAGCTGCTTCGAAAAAATTTTTCAGTTTTTTTTCTCGTCTCAGTCTTTCACATTTATTCTATCACTCTGTCTTTCTCTCTTTCCTTTTCCATGCATAACACCTAATGATTAAATAAACGTAATGTAGTATTAAAGAATCATTCCCTACTAATGAATATAGATATGTATTGATGTCTTCGGAATGAAGAGAAAAAGGATACGTTTTCTTGCTTTGACTATCACAGATCCGGGTAAGCTGGAAGCAGCCTGCTTTTTAAATTGAAAAGAAAATCATTGACATGAGGTTAATCATGTCCGAGAGAGCCTGTGTTCATTTCTCGTCAGGCGTAATATAATAAAAAGTTATCGAAAACTTTCTGACGCCCGTTCTCAGATAAACTACGAAACTCATTATCGATCAATTCTGATACTGACTTCTTGTAAATATCTTTATTTTTCATTTATAATAAAAATCATTCATCAACAACATAATTGTTCTTAGTCAATTATTCTTTTTTTTCTTATATCATTAAACTACGTGGGGTCATGATTATGCACAGTGTTGGTCACAAGGGAAGGGAGGAAGGAAAGTGGGGGGGAGGGAGATCGGTGAAGGGAATAGAAGGGACGGGCGATACTGTTTTTAAGGAGTATGTTGCAACAGGTATATATATCGTATATATGTACAATTATGAATTTGAGCTTGCTTGACTGCGTTTTTTTTTTAAGTATTTAGTGATAAAAGGAAGGATGAATTGTTCACCGGCGTATCTTCATTGTCGTTCCTTCGAAAGATTTCGTTAATTTCTCGCACAATTACTTTATCACGAGCAATTGTTCGAATAAAGGAAGCGGAGACGCATTTTTATATATATATCCATCTTTGCCTTTTTCATTTTTTCGTTCGTTCACACGTTCTTCCTTTTTCTTTTCTTTTCAGTTTTATTTGTTTTCTGATCCACGAAAGTCTCTAGCAATGATCACCGTATATTCCGATCGACGAAATAACGATTACTACGAAGAAAATCAGATTTTACATTAGTATTTACAATGAATCGCGCGCAACGCTATGACGCAACGTTATAATCGTAATATGTTTCCAATTTTTACAGAGAGAGAGAGAATTCTGATTACGAAAACAATGTCTCTAAGACGATGGAACAGATTCTTTTTGGAGACGACGCGGAGAGAAGACATTAAAAGCGGCTTTTAATGTCGTGATCCTCAGAATAAAACGCTTATCGATATAATAACACATACATAAACAACACCGTAAATAAAGAATTGAACGAGAAGACTCGTTACACGCCAGTCACGCGACATAACCATTCCCCGGCGAGAACGATATATACCGTTTTTTTTTCTTTTAATTATTCTCGATAATTATCCATCACATCAACATTAGAACCCTTAACAAATTCGACATCGTATCTGTCCTTTACAAGTTAATCGCGCATTAATTTTATAAACCTTTACATTTCTCCGAAAAACGTGTGTATCTCTGTGTGTGTCTCTATGTGTGCATATGTTCCATTCTCATGAATTCAATCAGAATTGTCCTCGGAGGCAAATAAAACGCAACTCGTTGAAAAAAGGATACGGAAAGGCCACCACGATCGTAAATAATCGCCGTCGCGATACATCGATTCTCTCGATCAAGCGATATTTTTTTATTTCGGCATGAAGAACTGCTGATGCGAATGCGAGTTCGGCGGCGGATGGAGGTTAGGATGCGGTGGTCCGCTACCCCTCGTCCCGGTGGCGTACAGTTGTTGCTGGAAGTTGTGGAATTGTTGAGCATAATTCGGATCAGACATGCTTGGCCCACTACCGACGAACGGGCTGTTCTTGAAATTACTAGTAGCACCACCCATGCTCGGAGGTAATGGTTGAGTCGCATCCGGTGGCGGACCCAGTCCCATAGGGCTGCCCTTACTGCCGGATACGTACATGCCGGGGTTCGGTTGGTTGGGAACTTGAGACACCATGTCAGGTGGGAAGACTTTATCCGGGTCCATCGAACCGCCTGGAAAGACACCACCGCCAACCATGTGCTGCATTCGCATTAGATTAGGCTGAGGTCTCATGTTGCCCACTGGTCTCATCGAGGGATGTACACCGACCGATGTGTTCATCGATTGCCCGTCCATCCTCGGTGAGCCACCCATGCCGGGAAGTCCGCCGCTCATAGTCGATGGCATACCGCTATGCGGGCCCATACTATTAGGTACGCAACCATTCGGGAAGTACTGGAGATTTACAGATGGTGTGCCCATCTTTGACTCTAAATTAGACAGGGGATTGGTGAATCGTTGAAGGAAGTCTAAGCTTGGAGGCCCTCTAGGTGTGTGACCGACGTTGGGCCTCGCTGGTAGGTATTGTATAGTGTTAGGAGCACTAGGTTTTACTTGAACGTTCGCTCCGTTGTAAGGACTAGGACCAGTTACGTGTCCAGTCATTAATCTAGGTGGTGGTGCGTGAGGATCACCGCCTGGATACGCGCTACCGGCGTTACCAGAATGGCTACTCATCATACCATGACCCATTATAGGATGTCCCATTTTGCTAGGTACTCCGGGACTTCCCGTGTGCGAAGTAGTCGGACTATAGCTTGTCGGTGGTCCTGCAAGACCCATGCACATTCCTCCTACTTCGCCCGGTTCGCTGGTTGGGCCACCCATGTGACAGCTTCCGTTCATCTCGCCTCCCATTTGCATCATATGCATGCCGTGGGGATTACCAAACTGCATCATCCCAGTGTTTCCGGAGTGAATAGGTCCTTCGTTGCCTAGTGAATTGCTGGCTGCCGTGTTAGTGAGCTGCTGGCTCATCTGGGCCAAAGAGGTGATGGGATCGAAGTGATTTGTACTCATCGCGGTTAAACTGCCGAGTCGCCCTCCGATATTGTTGGGATTTAGAGGCACATTGTCTGAAGGTTGACTCACGTTTATAGACGGTCTTCCGCAGGGAAAGGAGGCGCTTGGACCTCCTAGAGGAGGCACCACAGTTGAGTTCCCAGAATTACTTTGATTCGCAACTGTAGACTGTTGTTGTTGCTGAGGTGGCTGTTGTGGTTGTTGTTGTGGCTGCTGTTGCTGCTGAGGCTGTTGCTGTTGTTGAGACTGACTTTGTTGCTGTTGAGTATCTTTTGTCGATGGCGGAGATGTGTCAGGTTTCGTAGTAGGTGATGCCGGTACTGTTCTTGGAGGACCCATACTGTCCGGTATATTTGTATTATGCGGCGCTGGACTACTTTGTGCACTCGCGCTCGACTTGTTCCCTGGTTTTCCAGGATCTACTGGAGTATGGGGAGCACCATTTCCAGGTGTGTGCGGAGTATGCGGAGTGTGTGGACTATGCAAGGAGCCAGTGAAACCACGATTCATGCTATCCATCTGAACTGGACTCGCACCCTCAGATCTGGCTGGAAACTGATTATTACCGTCCAAACTTCCTGGTAGAATTCTGTTCGGTATTTCTGTGTTGCTGGCCGTGTTTCTAAAGACACAGAATAATGTAGAATTATATACCTTTAATTATATACATTTGGAAGTGAAAATGATAAAATTATAAAATGTACTCACGTGGATAAATTGCCATCTTTCAGACTTGTATTTGGTTGCTTCTGTATAGTTAACTCCTGTCCCTCGAAGGTGTTAAGATACTGAATCTGTTGAGGGCTCGGAACCGGCATCAGATTCGCTTCCTTAACACCTGCTGCGTTCACCGCTCCGGTGTGTTGCTGCTTTTGCTGGGCTAAGGATTGCAGCGTGCGGCAAAACATACCATCCACTATGTTGTAACACATAACATGATCAATTCACCGCGTAATAATTCTAAGCAGTGAACTTTTAACATATACTATGTAATAATTATATTGATCGTTTTTACTTAGTTGTTGCATTAAGATCCTTCGAATGCGATTCAACGTAAAATATTAATTTAACATATCAAATAGGATTTAAAAGAGATAATGTATTATTTCGATTATTAAGATTAAAAATAATTGCTTTATCTTTAATCTTACCATTTGGTGGTTGACTGGTGGGGAAGTCTAAAGCAGAGTCTTTTTGAGCAGTCGTTCCACTAGGGCTAAGCGTTGAGATGTGCGAATGAGAAACAGGCGTTCCTGGATTACTGTGATTAAGTCTCGTTGTCGATACGGCCGTTGCATTTCCAACTGTTGGATTCGGTGAATCTTGACTAGTCGGACTTTGTCCTGGTAGATGACTTGTTCTCTGATTACTAAGTTGAAACTGTCTGTTACAGTCTGCGGGTGAATTTAGGGCTGAACTCGCACGAGGTGACGGTAGTGACAAATTGCTGGTTGGATTGTTAGGTGATGAAGGATTTGGACTTTGTATCGCAATTGGTACACTCGCGGATCGGGTTGTTTGATGATATGGAGGCGGTGGTCCTTGACTACGCGGAACCCCTACCATATTAGCACCTCGTAATGGAACGCCAGTTCCAGGACTTCCAACACTAGTCTAATAAAATAAATATTACGTTAGCGTACACTGATATTTTTTAATTTATATATTTTTAATTTTTTTTACATTACTCTACCTTGTTTTTTCCATCAAGAAACTGATGTTGTAATTTATGCCAATCCATAGTTGGAGGACACTGAGTTGGTACAACTGAAGGAACATTCGTTGGAGGACACGTTGATACCGCTGTTCCTTGCGTTGTGTCTAACGCATTACCAGATTCTTCTTTATGCTCAGGAAATAACATCATTTGCATTTTCCTTATGGTCGCTAGTTGAACTTCTCGATGCTGCCTTTGTTGTGGGGTTAAATTTTCGTCTGGAACTTTCACACCTTGCAGTGATGGCTGTAAACTGCCTGGACCTGGACTGGTAGTACCTCCTAATAAATTGGGACTATGGCCCATTGTAGTACTATTAGGAGGTTGTGGATTTGCTGTAATAAAAGGTATGCTTCTAATGGCATAAAGTGTACACAAAAGGGGACTTGTAGAAAAAAAAAGATTGGAAACTCTTTCAACTACAAATACTAAATGCAAATGTAACTACATATTACCTGTATTACCAGGTGAATTTGGTACAAGGCAAGGCACATCAATATTTGCATCATCCAATGATGGTTCAGAATTACCAAGGGTATTACCACCATTTAAGTTCCTTAGATTAGGTTGTTCATTCCAGAATGGCGGAGCATTAGGGTCAAGAGCTGGTAGATCAGGAGGTTGCTCATTTTGAAAAGTATTGTTTGCACCTCCTTGGTGACCTTTTTGCTTCATCATTGCAAGATTATTTAACCATTGTGCAGGGTTTTGACGGAATTGATTTACTTTGTTTGGATGCTTCTGAAATAATAATATTACATTCTTATATTAACAAATGTCTGTGTAATATAGGTTTATCTTTATGAAATTCTTATACATACCTCTAAATATTTTTTAGTGCCAGGCTGTGCACAATGATAAGCAATAATCGATGGATATTGCCCTTGCAACACTGCATCTGCACCTTTATTTGCTAATGTTGTAGAAAATACAAAAATTTGACTTTGTTGTTGCATATATTGAGCTTCACCACTTCCTGTACTAGTTCCCATCTGTTTTCCAAGAACATTACTAACTAATGGCTGAATACCATCTGCAGTAATCACATTACCACTGCAATCTATAACAGAAAAAATAAAACAGATAAAATAATCACACAAACAAAATATTGATATAATAATATATAAAATATTCAGTAAGGACAGAAATTAAATCTATCCCTACCAGGTATATCATCCGTGGGATTATTATGATCACCTTCTTGCTTCACTGAGTTTAGAATTGGCTGATTTGCACTACTATTTTGATTCTCCCCTGACAATGTACCCTCCCCATTAGAGGGATCCAAACAAGGATCCCTAGGACATTCTGTGGTATCTTCTCCAGTTGTATCATCATTGTTGGCTCCGGTACCCTCTTCCTTGATCTTCACTGGATCTGTGTCAGGCTCCTCTTTGACAACAGTAGTTGGTACGCAGCTTGGTTCGCTGGGCTTCTTTTCTGTTTTCATCTTTGAAGCTTACTGGAGAATTATCCTGTCAGACCTTGGTCAGCTGAGTAAGAATCAAACACATGGCCACTATCGTCCGCAACGTGCGGCGTAACAACGTATTCGAATCCGTGGTAGAGGTTAACAACGAAATTATCGTTGACCGGTATCGTGCGAACGTGTCCTTAAAAAACGGTGTAGAACAGCACTCTCGAGGAAGGCATGTCCGTGGATCTGTTATTTCCCCGATGGTAAATGTTCTGGTGACCGTCGGTTCAGCGCGTTCCCAGTCATTTAATTAGCTAACCGCGGAATCGGATTCCTACGCATGAAGGAATCTCGGTTGTCAGCGGGCGACTGATACAGGAATACGAAAGTAAGACCAATACCACGAAGGTATCGAGACGAAGAAAATATCTAAATGTCACCCTCGTCTCCGCGGCAAGCGCATAGCGTACCTCCGGCTCTAATGTCGCACGGAACACCACGTTGTAACCGCGAAAGACGTGTCCAAAACATAGAACGGGGGCCAATGCACGCTGCACTCAAATTTCTTTGCCATTCGCAAGCATTGTTCTCCAACTTTATTTGTCACTTCATGGTCGCTTTGATTATTTATTTCTTTTACGCACGGCTGCCAACTGCTCGTCGAAAGTTAGACATCGTTTTAACGCGCCTCGGAGAAGGAAGCGTTCATACCTTTCCGATAAATAGAAAAAGATGGAAAGACCGCACCAGGCGTACTTGACTCGTTCCTTACACTTGATCGCCTGCAGGGTTACTATTTTGGTCTTTCTTTGCTTGTATTTTCACCATTCTTTCGCAGCCACGCCGTGAGTATTCATATCCAATCCGCATACCTTTTATCTATTCTTTTGGCAAAGCGGACTTTTATTCACGACTGTATTCTCCCTAGACAGAGGCCGCATTTATTTAACGCGGAATCAAAACTCTGTAAAATTAAATTTGGAATACGCGAGAGGCCAGGGACGAATCAAGTGATAGCGGTGCCTGTGTGTTCTTTAACTTTCGTTACCTTTTTACTGTATGCATAACGTACAGTTCCCATATATGGATATACTTTCGAGGCGGTATTTTTAAAATGTAAAATAATATCGGAAAAAAATGATAAATTTGACGAGAATGTTAAGGGCGTGTACATTTTGTTAGTGTAAACGTTTCAGTCGAATGTAAATTATGGACGCATTATAGGCGTTGGTTAAATGGAAACATGAAGCGAAAAGTTTGAATTCTCGTGTTCTTTTATAATTACACGATTTATTTAGCGCAAATGAAACATAAGTGTTTTATGCGTGTTTTAAATGTGTGATGTTACGTATTATTTAAAGATTAGGCACCTCATGTACGTATACGTTGATGAGACATTATTAATGTTACTTAATTGTTATGTGACAAAAAATTTTTTTAAATTACAATAAAGTTTGTTTTAATCGTACTATATATCAGTAAACCATAACGTTTTAATGTGATTAATAATATAATAGCAAAATAGATATAACCTAGATTTTTTTATTTAAATCCTTTCATTTCATTTATACTTTAATTAATTATAACTATACTTTACAGACTAAAATAAGTTACACAAAAATGTCACAATTGGAACTAGATCCTCAATTTACACAAGGTTTACACCTTTTACATTCAACTAATAAAGATTCTGCAGAACAGCTACGGGCACTTCTAGATGAGGCGATCAAACAAAAATATGGGCCATCAAAGATGTTATCAAATGTGTTACACAAAAAGGTAATTAGATGAAAATTAAATTTGGACACATTATGCAGGGTTACCAAGAAAAAGTACTTGAATTAAAGTGATTTATATTAATTAAGATATTATACTTACAGAGTTAGTTCTGATATCAGGGCACTCATGAAGCATAGGAGATTTCATTCACGTAAAAAGATGTCCAGTACTTGATCCCTCTGTATGCACCATCATTTTTATTTATTTTCTGAACTTGTATTTCTTGGATTTTCTGTTTTTAGTATATGATGGAGGAACCAGTGCTGAGTGACCATAGCAGCAGCAGCAGTAGCAAAAAGAGCAAAAGTTCCTCTTCCTCTTCTTCAAAGCATTCAAGCAAATCAAGCAAAAACAGTTCCCCTGTGAATTTACCAACACGTGACACACCACCTGATATTATTCAGACTGATAATACTCTAGCACTAGAAATATTAGAAGATGATCTGACATGTGTTATTTGCAAAGGAATGGATGTTGGCGCAAGAAATAGACTTGTTGAATGTTTAGAGTGCCATTCTTTGTACCACCAGGAGTGTCATGTTCCACATATTTTAGATTCCCAGATAGATGTTCCAGGTCTGGTGTGGTACTGTTCAAACTGTCCCAAATCTCAGGTGTGTGTATTCACTCACATTACAATTTTGTTGTAACTTTTATCTGAGAATATTTGTATAATTCTAGAAAAATTTTAGAATAGAATAAAAACTATAAAGCAAAAGCAAATTCCTTTGTTCATTTACAGGCCTCAAAAGAAAGGAGCTCACCAAAAACAGTGATAGAAAGCAAGTCCAAAGAGCAGAAGAAATCAAACTCAAGTAAGCTCTCTACAATTAACAGATAAGTCTACATTTCTCAAAATGGAAAAACAATTCCTATTCTTTTAAATAGGTGGTGGAAACAAAGTAACACCAAATATTCATATTATAAGTGCAGATAGAAGATTGAAAGATATGATGAAGAAAGCCAAGCAAGACAAACGAAGCACAAACACCACTCAAAGTTCGAAAAACTCTTCATCCAGTACACCAGCATTGTCTTCAACGAAATCTCAGGAAAAATCACTATTGTACAAAATCAAGTCAGGTGTAGAATGAAACTCTTACTAATATAAATATTGCGACAATATTTTATGATATAGCAGAGACTCGAACAAATTTTACATTTCCGACTTTACAAGATAATTAGCCAATTAAAAAAAAATATTCACGATTAATGTTAAAGAACTTCTGATAGCAAAATTAATGTATTTTTCCAAAGATAGTATAAATAATCTTTAAACAAGTAACATTAATTTTATATACACCACAGAAGTTTCCAGTTTTGTGCTGAACCTAAGGTTTTTACTTTTTATACTGTTATACTTTGATCAGACAAACACAATTTTTTAATTTAATTTGTTACAAAGTATAACGAATATTACGCGTGATGTAATTTGATATTGTAACGTTTAACTAGAAGAATATAATTTTTTGTACAAATGTACATTGGTTTAAATACATAAATACAAATATGCAATTAAATGTCTGTAAAAATTTTTAAAACCACATTTTGACAAAAACAAAGTTAAACAGAAAAAAAAATATTTTGAAAATCGTAATATTGATCACGGGTATTTCGAAAGACAAATATTACGAGCATCGAGTTCATTTATAATACCAATATATTTTTGCAATTTTTCAAATGCTTATTTGTTTGTCCCTACGTCCCATTGAAAATTTGGCAAGAGTCATTTCGTTTTCGAGTGTTACTTAAAACCTACTTATATGCGAGATGGGGGGTTGAATGCTATTTACATAGGGCTTTTCTTTAGGGGTGCATCTACACGCGTATATCGATAGATATACGCTCTCACACACACACACTGACCGCCAGCAACGTAAAGCAGTATCACATACATACACACGTATCCACGCTGCACCTGTCGTTAACGTACACACACATTACGTGTAGGCTATACAACGAGAAAAAGATACATTCAAAAATTCACGAGAATGAAAACGAGCCCGTTTTACATTTTTTTCATACACAGTTCCCCAGATCGAATACATTCAAGTTATTCTTACAGGGAACAATCATCCCCCCATCCCTTTTTCCGAAGCTTAACAAAGAATAATCTTAAACTCGACACGACGTTTGGATTCGTCTATACTACGAAGCATGACATTACTAATCGACTCGTAAACCGCTGAACATTCCTCAGTTAATTACAATACAGTACAATACGTTGAATGCGGAATTGACAAGCTTTTCAGATGGATGGAGTCAACTGTCGAGCGTACAAATCATCGGGAAATTCTGCTCTATCGTGAGCGTTCCTCGACACTGCATTTAAATTTCAACATACCTTTGAATTTTACAAATTCCAGAATTAACATCCTTGACCATTTTAAACAATAAACAATGCACTTTATATATTTTAATTACAATATGGCTACTAATGGCTGTGTATTTTAAAGTAATTGCGTTAGATGTACTAAAATTTTAAACGCGTAGTTAAACAACTCAAGTACTAACCATGGTACTTCCGGTTCGAATAAAATCATTTGAATGCGTTGCATTTTTTTCTACATTATTCTAACTATTTTTCTGAATACAAGTATCGTAACGTTTTATGCAATGTCTGTATTTTTGAAATGCTTCAAGAAAACAGCAAAGTTTCATCGAGATTTGCATGTGCACAATATACATTAAAGTGTAACATGTTCCACGGCCTTCCATCGAATTGCGCTCGAACGTATGATGTACTTTACATACCGTACAAGATATTCTACACGACTTCTGCAAAATGAACGATCGTTAAAGATCTACCACACACTTGGCAGGAATTCTTTAACTTCAGACAATAGGGATGAGACGTATGTATATACGAATATGTGTGCAAGTATGTTAACATACGTCAATCTGTACTATGTAAAATGATATAAGTTAAAAAAGGTATGGTATGCCCTTATAAAAAACATAGATTCTTACATTGTGGACGTTACATAATATTATTCGAATTAGGATCGAACCTATTTAATATTTATAAAAAATGCAAATTAATTTTACAATTCCAACTTTTTCCATGCATTGATAAACAATTGAAGGATTAGCAATATGATCGTTCTAATGTACACACACATACAGCTTTAACACTTATTCGACTAAAATACACATTATCGCTTTTTATCGCCAGACATTTTTATTATGCACTTTATATAACAATAAAATGTTAATTCAATCTAGAATTTAAAGATAAGTTTCTAATACTCCGAAAAAAAATTTGTACTCGTACAAATAAAAACATTTTTCTACTACTACTATATTTATACATCCTAACAATTAGTAGAATAGATTTTTTCTATAATTTTAGTAAAAATTTCATATTGAATTATTCAACTATTTTATTTTAATCATTAAGTTAATAAAATTTCATTGACAAAAAAGTTAATCTTTTATAGGATGTTTGATACGAAAAAAAATTTACAAATGATTGCACAATTAGAAAAATTAATTATAATTTTACAATTTGTGAATAATCAATGTACGAATACAATTTCTACTTTGAAAACGTTTAATAAGTCTCCTTTAAATAATAGAAATATTAATTTTTAGTCTATCATTTCAGTTTATTTTATTCTAAATAGTTGAATTAAAAATATCTCATGGGCGATAAAGTGTGATAAAGACCTAAAGATGGAATTTTCAAAAATTTTGATATTGCTCCAACTAAATTGTGTATATGTATGACACATAATTTGCACAATGTTTAAATGTAGCATAAATATTTACGCTAGTAGAATCAGAGTATAAGACTTGTTGAAGTAGATTCATTACTCCAATTAAATGTTAAAATTACTGAAGATTGAAGTCAGAAATCGACTTTTTAATTTTATTTTGGAAGACTACATCCAATAGTTTGATACGATCAAAATGAATGCAAACACTATTCACAAGAATGTTCTGTTTCATAAATTTATTAGAAAAAGAGAATCATTGCTTGCACAAACAAGGTTCCTTCTAATTGTTGGAAAGACATGTATGTTCTGAATTTTTCTATGTAATCAGTATGTATTCTACTCTACATATAAAGTAGAGGAAGAATATACCTAATGTATTTTGTAAATATGAATATTATTTTCTTCTTTTATACATTCATTTGTTTTATACAAGAGTGAATATTTGATTTCAAATATGCTTGTGTAAGGTGTAATATTTTTGTATGCAAAAATCATGAACAAATTCAAGCAAGCAGTATGTTCATACTTATTTTTTTAAACTGCAATCAAACAAGTACTACTTTTTTTACTGAAACTTTAATAGAATCGTTTGGATTAAAAAGCTTGCTTTGCATTGTTTAAATTATTAAACAAAAAAGATCATTATATTCTTCGCTATAAACTCATTGTACAAATATAATATGTTCAACAAATAAAAATACTTGGCAAAAAAATCATTCTAAACTTACAGTACGCGTTTTATAATTCAATATACAAGAAAGTTAATCTTAATTCCATTACGACATGGTACTTTAAATACATGTATAAAATAATGTATTTAGAACATTATATAAAAGAAATGACAACAGAATAAATATATAAATATGATCAAAGCTCGTGGATACTAAGTTTCATTGTACATTCTGTTATCATTTGTTCCATACTAGCGATTATTGTATTGCATGAAATGCGCATTGGAAAAATGTGATGTACAAGAAAATTAAATTATTACAGAGTAAAGATGAGCGACGTTCACCTTTCTTCTACCTGAACGAGAACTTTCATGGAACGACCTAACGTTTCAAGATTGCAAACGCGTGTTTCACATCTGTTGAAAGAAACATAAATACGCGTACAGTCATGGACGTACTTGAAAGAAAGTGATACATTGAATCACATAGGACAGATTGACGTACTACCATTTCTCGTATAAGATAATTCGTTCGTCGGAATATAAATAAATACAATACATATAATAGAGAGATACATAGGTTGATGGTCATCAATAGGAAACCTGGGGGCCGGTATAGTAGATGAAATACACAGGAGTGTTAATTAAGTACAAGAGTGAGCTTGAACCCCAGCTTTCCCAGACCTACCATTGACGTAAATTGTCAAATAATCAACCCCGCGGTTCAATCGGACGTTTAAGTAGGTCTGTTCCGGTGTAAACAGTTCGTAAAAGCGCATGGAGAAAAATTGGCAGTGCGCAGTGGGCAGTGAATTCAACCGTTAAATACATATACGTTGGAATAATGAATAATATTGAGAGATAATTAAATGCTTCCTTATAAAAAAATGCAACTTTCCAACAGAGGCAGTCTTATGTGAACTAAAATGGCGGCATAATCCCAAGAAAATACTGTTCATCGTTGTGTGTCTTATTAAATCGTTTCTTCTTTCTTTTTCGCTGCGTTTAACCACGACAATATTGACCAATTGGCGAAAAATCTCAAATACCTAATGACCGGCGAAAAATACAACCAGACATGTGTACAAAATTTTTCTTCTTACAGTGTCCTCTTTTCTTTCCCTGTTTAATTCGCATTCGAAAGATCCTAGAAATTTCCTCGCCGGTATACAATATAAAAGATCTTTCTCGTTTTCTATTACGCTTAGCAATATACGATAATAACTATTGTTGAATGGGCAATTAATCGATAATTGTACCTATATAGATAATAATACAACTTAATTATATAAGAGCAATAATTGATATAATATAGCTCATATAATAGCCGTAAAATCATTATGATCCATATAGTTGTCTTATAGATCATAGTAACAGTCGTACTTAATACATAAGTGTAATTCAAATAAAACAGACTAAAAAAAAAAAAAAAATGAACGAAAATTTCTTTTTTTTTTACGTACTGAATATACGTAGATAGGCCTAGAGTAGTCCGAGCTGCTCTCATAATTCTTAATTGTTCAATTCTTTTCTTTTTTTGTTAAACATTATTTTAATTACCTTACTTTAATATCATTTCTCTCTCTTCTCTCTCTCTCTCTCTCTCTCTCTCTCTCTCCAAAAGGGTTCTTCACCCCCAACTTATAATACATATATAGACCCTCTCTAACTAGCTCACTACAATCCGTGGAGGTGTATGTTGCGTGATGGTGGACACTATGGCTTCTTTTCTTTTTTTCACTTAACTTTTACACACGTTATTTCCTTTCATGTTATATATGCGTTCTCCGTATTTACGTATACACGTATAGACATTCGGCAAACAATGTAATTGAAATCATTAACCCTTTTGTTAGTAAGTATTATTTTTGCATGAATTTCGTATCTCAAATCCTTAAACACTTACACGATTCAATATTTAACTACATCACCGAAGATATTAAATTTCTCTTCGATCGTCTCATAAATTATATCTCTTATTAATTGAAGATTCCACCGATTGCATTGGGATTCGATCGAATATTCACTTTTCGTCGTCATTCTTATAATTTCTTACAAATACATATATACACACACACATACACACACAGTGACTCCCACTAATAGTCGGACACTCTTTAGAACCGTATAACTTTTTTCAAAATTGGACCTAAGGAGTTGAGGTTTTTTTGGTAGAAGGATTGGTATGCTAGATGACGTGTGCAAAAAATTTTGAAAAAATAGCAATATCTGGGAATCACGAAGAAAATTATAAAGGTCACTGTTTATAATTTTTTTATCTAAGCTAGTAATGAAAATTTAAAACATACGTTTAGTAGATCTATGTCAATTATACACATGCTGAAAATTTCATCGAAATCGGCTAATGTTGCTATGAACTACAAACGGTTAAAGATTGTGAAAATCGCACTATTTCACGACTTTCGGCCTATAACTGTAATAAATCTGAAGATTCTTATATCTTTCGATGTCTGTCGCTTGTTTCTCCACCAACCGATTTCGATGAAATTTTCAGTATGTGTATAATTGATATAAATCTACAAAACGTGTTTTAAATTTTCATTACAAGCTCAGATAAAAAAGTTGTAAACAGTGACCCTTACAATTTTCTTCGTGATTCCCACAAATTGCTATTTTTTCAAAATTTTTTGCACACGTCATCTAGTATACCAATCTTTCTAACTTCTCAAAAAAACTCAAGTCATTAGATCCAATTTTTAAAAAGTTATACTATTCTAAAGAGTATCCGACTATTAGTGGGAGTCACTGTATATATGTATGTATATATGTATGTATATGCATAGTAAAATAAACGAAATATACAATATTAATAAAAACAGATCAGGTTTAAGGGTTAGAGTCGCCGTTACTTTTTTCCCACTTTTTTATCATTTTGCTAATATCTGTACGTGTGCACGAGCGTATTTCGATACGGCCATGACATATAGATGCAAATACTACAACCAGGACATGAATTTATCCTGAAAAAACTATCGCCTGACTAGCCTTAACGAAATCGCACGTATTTACGGCATTGTTATTCACATGGTGTGTAGATTTGTACATATGTAACGAGGTGTATCTGATGCATGAAATGGAGGCACTAGTCAGTGTTTCTGGAGAGATTGACGGGTCCTGGGATGGCGATGAGGAGGTTATGTCAGCAAGCACTGGTTTCCTCTCCTTCGAGCGTGCACGCGACATTCTCTAGCCTGTGAGCTAGGTGTAATTTGCGACAGCCCGCGTCTGTCTCCAAGGCCTCTAAGATCTACACAATTATCACGTTAATTAATTCCGTATACTAATGAAAAAACAAAGAAAAACTTAACAAGCTAACAAACGTTAACTTTAGATTAAAGCTACTTACTTGTTCGTAATACTTGCTGACATAAATGTAAAGTTCTTTCAGTGCTGCGATCACATCGAATTCGTTCGCGTGTGACGCACTCAGCTGTTGCATGGCACTAGACATTTCTTGATCAGTGATCTGCGGCAGTCTTTGTACATCGGAGTAAAAACGACCCACTTTCTCTCGATAGTGCGGTATATCCTTAGCGAATAGCAATTTGTTCGAGGGAGAGTCCTTGCCTAACCTATGCTCTGTCATCGAGCAGGAATCCATGAACGTTTGCGCGATTACGGATAAACTCGAATCGACCGTCGTGGACTTATTAATATCGAACATGAAATCTGGATTCTTAATGAAATTCACCCAAAATCGAAGCGGCAAACTGTTCGATTTCCATGCGTGTGGCACTTCCGGATCGATGATCCCGTGTTTCTTCGCGGCGTCATCCAATAGATCGAATAGCCATTTTACAGCACTGGGCAATGCCTCGTTCGCAGTTAATATCGTGTTTAAGAAATCATCGACAAACTTCTGCACGGTACCCTTCGTCGACAACAGTCTCGTTAAAAATATTTCTGGGATAGCTTTGTGTGTTCTTTCAGGGTGATGGTGTTTACTACTGGTAAAACCCATTCCTGGTGGATAATGGCTATCTTCGATAGGCCTTACCAAATGATATAATCGTTGGTTACCTCCATGCCCAGTCTCTATGTCACCGTTCGCCGTTATTATAGGCGGCGAATGTTGAGACTCTAAGTATAAACCGCTGACAGGGTGATTGTACATTACAGGACTGATTAGATTGTGGTTAGGTGTGGATGGAAGATGTGTGGACGAACAGTGATTTGCGTGTCGATGCAGATGATGATGATGAGCATGATGATGAATGGACTGTTGCTGATGATGATAATGTGACGGTTTACAGTTGTGACACGGTGGCTTACACGCGACAGAAAAGCCATCGTTTTGTCTAGGTATTAACGACATAACGGCTGACTCCTTAACACCGTAGTGCGCAAGTGTGTTGATCTTCTTCCAATCGCCGCTACACTTTGTCGTGAGATCCTCATCCTGAAGAGTCAGGTGACCACCCCTACCATGTCTCCATTCCAAATCTACGTCATGAACGGACGGCCTCAGTGAGAAAGGAGTATTCTTGTACAGTGCGTCTAGGATCTTGGATTTCACTTGGTTTATAGTATCACAATCTAACACCTTGCACTGGATCTTCTCATCGAGATCATCTTGGACGACGTGCAGGGTGACCACACTGTGCTCAATTTGCTCTCTGAGCAGTCTCTCCTCGGATAAAGAATATCTAGCGTCATGCGTGATCACATCCACAGGACCTTTTTCTATCTGATGCTTTATTGCCTTGAACAATAAAAATAGAGAGGAACCCGCGTAATCTTTCAGATAATTGTACATGCAAAGTGCCATCCAGTTTGTCAGCATCTTCTCCACTACAGACTCAGTCCTCCTCAGCATTAATTGCGGATGCTTTGTATTTACCGCTTTTTCAATGAGTCTGAGTAAGAGATTCATAAGTATATCAGTGGCATACTCCATTTTGCCCATCAGTACCACCATGAGTAATGAAGCAACATTCACTTTATCTCTAATGTTAAAGTCTTTCTGAGCCTCTAGGGTTTCAATAAATGTCAGTACAAAGTATTTATTGTTAATCAATTGCTCAAACTGAATCATCGCTGCATCGTAGTTTGTTCTAGATACATTACTGCGTGATCTAGGATCGTTCAATATGGGATGATGCGTGACACCCGGAAAAAATACTTTCATGATATAATTCTTGTGATCCAGAGTAGGAATACCAGATGATTCTAGATCTGCTGTCAAATCAGTCATGTCAGTTTGTAATTCTGCGAATGCCTGCTTACATTCCATCCTAACATTGCTTTCAAGAGTGTCCATCTGTATCTGTATCCTCTTATATTCCCTTTCCGCTTGTGTGCTCTTTCTCCTATATATTATCAATACCAGAACAAACAAAAACACCAGACCAAATGTTCCAGCAGCTATTCCAGCTATTGCCTCTGGTGGAATTGGATAAGATTTAATAACTTCATAACGCAGGTAACCAATGGGAAATCTTAAGCTCCTTCCGACACGTACCACCACTAAAGGCAAACCGTTCTCAGTTTTAATTCCCAGCTCATCCGTGTCAGCTGGCTGTGAATCAGGAGGAATGCAAACTAATTGTGTTAAAGCGAGGGAAGTTACATTACACGGCATCGTTCCAACAGTGACATTCACGTCTGACTCATCGCTTGCAAAAATCAAATTTTCCCCCTCGATAACTAACGTGTCACCCTTGTACAATTTAATGTTTCGTGGAAAAGCCAGAAATTTCGGGTCTTCTACGTAGAGCAGGCGATTTCTGAGACTTTTGAAATACTTTTCCAGATCTCGAACGCTTTCTACGTTGTCCATGATGAACGCTATCTTCAGAGACAACTGAGATTCTTTCAGCTTCAGTGATTGCGGTGGTGTGCTCTGACCATTAACAGCGGCACGTTCGTTCCGCCGCAGGGTCATGAAACGTTTAGCAACGCTAGGACTCGGGCATTCCATCTGCGTCGGATTTAATACCGTGCAAACAGTTCTATTCACTGGCAGTAGCTCATTGTCGAAGTAAACTTCCATTTCAGGCTTCTGGATGGTGTCTAAGTTCGTACCGTGGACAGTGATCATGCGACCACCGGAAGCGAAGCTTGTCAGTGGTTTAATCTCCATAATGGTAGGATCGTGAGTGTAGTTATAAGGGTTACCATCTAAAGTGCGATTTGCTCCATCTATGCTAAGCGTCAGTCTTTCAATTCTTCTTACCCGATCAGATTTACTCGTCACACAAGTCAGTCTCGTACTGCTCGCCTGCGTAGCATTAACATGGCACGGTAATTCGTCTAAGTAGGCTGAAATAGTACTACCGATGTTCAGGTACATTCCAGTGATGGCGAGTTGCGTGCCACCACTTTGTGGACCAACCGATGGATAGACACGCCACAGCCGTATGTCTTTATAGTTGAACAGTACCGCGCTTTCGGTGTAACCAGCATCGTTTCCAACTACCACAGAAGCAGTGTCTGTTGCTTCGTGTCGTCCAGTGCGACAAACGATGCGTACAGATACCTCATAGTCGACCAATGCGCAAGGAGTGTTTCCAATATGTATTTTTCCCTCCACATCGCTCTCTTTCAGTCCTAAATTACTACCTTCGATGGTTACCAACGTACCACCCTCAATGGGTCCGCTCAGAGGCTTGATCATGTCTATCCTCGGTTTTGGACACTCGGTGAATGGTGAAAAAAACACGCAACTGTTACCGCACCAAGTACATTCGAAGCGCGCGTCTCTGGTCACGCAAAGAGAACAGTCTGCGTGTTCACGATGCGAACCCAACACTTCACACTTGTACAGAATGATGGTAGTCTTGTCTACGTGATGGTTGATGTTCCAAACAACCGTCACCTCCGCTTCGTATTCACCAGTGACCGCCTCGTACGAGTACACCGTTTTGTCACAAACTATAAAGCGGCTGCTGTCGACGCGGGCTTGTACTTTTAGGTTGGCACCCTCGATCGAAACGATACATTGGAAACCACTGTGGCCAACTTGAGGATGTGGTAAATTCTCGACTTCCAGCACTATCTCTTTGGGCACGCTGTTGGGTAACATCAGGGGCTCCTTACGTTCAACGAACCTTGGACAGTACTGTGCCCCATGAGCAGCAAGGTTTGCTTGATTCTATAAAATTAAATTTTTATTTATGGAAATCGATATTAAATTTTACAAAAAATTTTATATTAAGTTACTCACGTTTTCTCCTGAAATTATACCCTGGCAACTTGTATTATGTGTACACTTATTGTCGTACACACACCAGCTGCAAGCCCATTGAGATTTGACACATTCTGTACACACGGTATGTCTCGAACAATCGAAGAACGCAAAATTTCGCGAAACAAAGTCTTTGTTCGTTTCACTAGAACGCACAGATAGCGGTACTAGAACGTGATCGGCTCCATCTGGTATATTGGGTCTTTCGATAACAGGTGGGGTAGGACAGGACAATCCAAAACCGGTCATTAGTGCGTCGATGGGTTCGGCGTTACCGAAAACACATTTATAATTAGCCCCTGCTGGTAATTCGGGTAGAGTTCTGATTGTTAAGTGAACCGTAGTCATTTGATTGATAGGCATACGATCTGGAAGAACTTGCTCAAAATCGATGCATTGCTGTCCTGTGCCTAACGACAACCATCGGGGACTACTGTGACTTGCTTTCTGACAATCTCCCCTAACCGTGCACCTAAAACGATACATTAATGTTATAAAAATGAAATTGATTGAACTTGAATAGTTATACGTAACGAAATAAAAAGTATATAATTACCTTTTTTCTAATGAACACCATCCACAATAAGGATCTTTTGCATCAAGACAACTACTGCAATTGGTATAACTACTGCAATGCTCGACTTGAACCTTAGAAATTTTAGAAGTTGACAGAACATAAATATGTTCTCCATCTGGCGAGATTAAAGTGTCAGGCATCAATCTGTTTCCTTTATCGATTACAATGCTTTCATAGACAAACGCTTCAGTCCCAGAAAGTAAAACTTTCTTGAGGGCACCCTCGTTTGTACCCAAGAATGCAACGGTATGACTTTCTGTATTAGCTACTGTTATAGAAGTGATGAATTCGTCAGGGAAATGTAGGATTGCTTGTCCCACGATTGGTGACATTCCGGAGATTTTCAAGCCAACTTCACAGAAATTCAGAATGTTACCTGTTGTCTACATATAAAAAGACAAATGCAAATTAATTTTTGTAATGAAAACATACAATGTTTTCATGTGTAAAAGTTCTTTAAACTTACTCCTGCCGTAGGACATTTTCCATCTTGTATAGGACCACTAACATAACCCATGTTTCTATATTTAGTACTACCATTAAAACACATGTGGATGTTTTCGTTAAATTTTGTTTCGATATCTTGCAAACTGTATACACAAAGTGCCGACCGAGATACTGGCTCATTCGTGATGCCTCTACTTGGCGAAAATACGGAGACAAAAATTGGATCACCAACAGAAATACCAAGCTGCATGGCTAGATCACTTCCAGCAGGTGCTACTTTTGCATCTTGCACTAAATTATAATATTGCAGTTTTCCATCTCCTAGGTCAACGGTACATTGTAACGTTACTTCCGTATAACTATCATAGTTCGGATCGCTTATACAACTTCGAGCCAATCTAGAGATGTAACCTTTTTCCTCTTCTTCAGGAAGATGAGACTGTTTTTGAACCAATACAAAATACGCGTAATCACTAGCGTTGAAACCATATACGTATTTAACCAGAAAGTGATCTCGATATTTCACGTCAATATATACGATCGATTGTTTGTTAAATGTATATTCTGCGAATTCTAGATTGTGAAGATTTCTACTGGAAATAGCAGGCACGTCGTGCCTATAATCCCCTCTGTTAGTGAATGTAGTACCAACATAGAGTATATTGGTTTGTCCCCATGCATTATATCTTTCGGGTCCAATAAAAGCATAAGTAGATGAATTTTCATCATTAGCTGCTACACTATGGGGAATGAATTCTGGTTTAATAGATATGTTTGACATTTTGTACTTTTCACAAGCACCTTGAAGAAGGGAACCACATGCAATCAATGTTTGTGATTCCAGATCAGCAATTAGTAATTTGTTCACATTGTCCATTAAAGATGTAGTTATGTCCCTAGAAGGGCAGCCTGTTGCATGACACTGAGGATTATCCAATCTTGGTCCTGAAAACAATAACAAACAATATTCTATATTCTATTCTATTCAATTTCTAATATTTGCTATGTAATACAATATATAATTTATAACAAGAATCATCAGTTAACCTGTGGAAACATATTCTTCCAGTCTGAGATTAGAATCTAATTGTAACAGTCTGTTGATGGCACCTGCATACAATCTTCCTGTAGCAGGGTCTATAGTGAGGTGATTAAATCGAAGAGCACCTTCTCTTGTTGTATTTGGATCTAAAGGATAAAATCCATATCGTTGACCACCTCCCATAGGAAATTGTGTTACAATGTGTAGAGATTTGTTTTCTTGTACAGGTGGAACAGTACTAGCAGGTGTATCTATGGCTGCAGTTACCAGTACCACCAAGAACCAGGTGGCAACAGACATGGATGAAAAGGATAATCGATGAAGTGGTAGCAGCAGTTTAGAAGATGACACAGTAGGTGAAATGGGAAATGATACAAATCCCAAGAATCTCATGATGTGTAGACAATAGTTGACAAAGCACAGGCGCACACGCTATGCGTGCGCGTTTGTGCGTGTACAAGTCTAGGGTAGGAAGTGTAGAAGGTACAACAAGGGTATGAGTCCCACTGGTAGAAAGCCAGTATTGATACAGTACTACCAGCTATACATGTATCCAGGCACCGACATGATGCACATTGCCTGGCACCTCTGAAACATTCCAAAAATCCAATACATTTAGCTATTTAGTAAAAAAAATTAGGTTGTATTTATAAAATCTCAAAATTCCGCTGTGTATAAAAATTTTTTTTAACTTTTACACATTCTCTAAACATAATCTTTAAAACTATTTCATGCATCGCGAAAATGCATTGTAAAATACAAAACAGAAATATCGAAATATATATCAGACTATATCGTTAAGGTAAACTAAACGTTTATATTTTCACAGATTCACGTTGTTTTTCCGAAAACTGAACATGCGTGGTTAAGCGTAAGTAGATTGTAATAATCCAAAAGCGAACTGTCAAAATATAAATAATGTATCACTGACCGATTTTGGTACTAAAACATCTCGATAACGATGTCAGGCTAGGGCAGATGGCTCCACACTTTTTGAGTGACACCGTTGCACGCACCGCCCTTCATTAGTGTGAGCAGCATAGCTGCACTTGACAGCTAAGGCCAGTGTCTTCGCACAAAGGCAAGGATATTCCGCTCCTTGTCAATAATTGTCTAACAAAACACAACCGAGCGAATTAGCAGAATCCCAATGAATAAAATATTCCAGATGGTCATAAATGCTTCCCATATGATCGTAAAATACGAGCATATCTCCAAGTAATTACTCAAAAAGAAGAAGAATTACCTCCAGAATGGAAAAAGCTCGCAGCTTCGATTCACTCGATTTGATACGATCATCAGTCAGCCCGTGTGACTTTGCTTCTCTTTCACGACCGATACACACACAGATTAGCACATATATCGAACTAAAATAAAACCAAACATTTTTATTTATCACGTACGGTCGCCCTTTTTCACGAAAAAGCCAAAGCGTACAACACGACTGCACGATGGAATGTTCGTACGCAAGAGTCGCTACGACACATCGCGGATATGCACTATGTCCTTGATACGAGCCACCGATACGGTCCTCAGACGGTAGAACACCAAGCCACGCAACCGAGATTCACCGGAACTCCCTATCGTTCCCTTCGGTAACATATAAAACGTAGAAATACCGTCCGTCACTTGATAATAACACAAAACAGGGAATCAGAATGAGCCGCCATTAAAATTCGACCAACAGCGACAGGCTGCACGAGTTTAGAGCAAGTTGGGGGCCGTGGCTATGGCATGCGCCGCTTGCTCATTATCTTTTTCTCTCTTTCGCTCCTGTCGCGCTTTTCCCACGGTTCAGTGTCTCTCCTTGACTAGTTCTATCACTCTCTCCTACCGACTTTCCTTTTCTTTCTTCCTTTGACTATACGAACACCTATCGCCGATCACAAATGCTGCGTCCTCCTGCGGCTGAACGCCCGTACTTTTTCTTCGATGGATAAAACGTACCTACTATTCCAGCTAAAACTCTGGATTTATTGGAACTATGCATTAACTATGTTAGAGCCAAAAGTGCGTCTATTTGAAAGAGAAAACACTATTCGTTAAGAGACATATATGTAAAGAACGAGAAAAATTTAATACGTAATTTCCAAACTTGATACTGCTGGTATTATTTTTAATAACAACAAGATGTTTACAATGAAATTTGACTCGTAACTTTATTGAGTACAGCACCTCATTTTTTTTACTTTTGTTTTTATAGCTTCCAGTGATGCCCAATTTTTCGTTACGCCTCGTGGCAAAGGCTTCGATGTAACATGGTACGTTTTTTTTTTACTTTATCTCTTTTGTACTCACATTCTTTACATACTGCACAAATAAAAACCCTTTCTAGAATATCTCTTCATAAGTCGACTGGTTTAAGTAGTCATGTCCAAAGTGACTCGTGTGTCACGATTTATTATTGTAAATATCATGTTATTTATACATATACCTAGCTTCAAACAGCTTTAATAACGTTTCTTTTTTTTTTGCTTTTATGGAGAGGGTTTTGGATTTTTTGGTTGTGGTATCTTTCATTTTACATGTAACAAATACAATAGATAACTAATAATAGCAGGTCATAATTAAGAACATGATGATCGATGTAACTATATAAGACTGGATTCATTCTATCTTTCCCTCTCGAATGTGTCTCGATCGCTCTCTTAACTCGTTATACAATATATATGTATAAGCTGTGTATCAGTGTGTGTGTGGGTTTTTTTCGTGTTGTACGTATCTAATATTTACTTAAATGTTAAACTTCTTACAGACCGGTTACATCTTTGAAAGGAAAAATCTCTATATATTTCTATATAAGCCAAACTTAGCATACCTAAGTAGACACTTTAATATCAGAAATGTTTTTCTTAGATAGAAATACACGCTTTTAAAAGTCTCTTATGTTTTATGCACGACAAGCAACCCCACTTGTCAATTACAAGGAAGGCTTCTCCAAACACCGTATAAAAATTATAAAACAGAAAGAATGTTTAAAATTTACCGCCTAACAAGTTATTATACACGTGTTTATAAGAGTCGGTGCTATGGCCAGCCTCCTTAGGCCTTCAATATATACGACATCGAAATTAAAATCGAGGCAAATTCACCTCGCTCTTTGCGTACAGAT